AAAACAAGAATCTAGAATTTTACCCCAAACCAATTTCAAAATAAATAAAGAAACAAATTCCTAATATTTAGAGAACTTACCGATGAGAAGGGCAGGGTGGAACATGCAAAACAATGATTAATCCAGTGGTTTTCATTAGCGGCGATTGGGGCTGAAGATGTTGGATCGAATTTGGGGTCGGCTGAGACTACTCCGTTGGTGGGGATTCGAGGTCGACAATGAAGCTCCGCTGGATGGATGTGGCAGCCCTCGGCAACTCAGATGTTCACCCTGATCTCCGGCGCCTTCGCCTCTAACCTGACTCCTACTTCCGATGCCTTAGCCTCCGACTCTTACTTCCAACCTTTCTTGTGGGTTCAAAGGGTTAATAGTGATGGAAAGGGTTAACACCTCGATCTCGGAATCCTACCTCCGACCCGTGAACTCCTACTTCACCTCCGAGATCCTCCCTCGTACCAATCCCCGACCTTCCTTCTCCTCTGTTCTCGTCGCCAAACCTATTTGATGAGGAAGAGCATTGGAAAGGGTTAAGGAAGAAGAACAGAAGGGGGGAAAAGAAAGCTATGTTTTCTGGATGTAGGATACGAAAAGAGAGGTGGAGTAAAGGGAAAGTGAGTTTTTTATTCAAATTATCATTCATTTTATATTTTCTCCATTCAAATTATCTTCTCACCATTAAATTTATCTTCTCACAACTCATCTCATCTATACATTAAATTAAAGTTTTTTTCATTAGGTGATTGGTCACCTCTCGTGACAAGAGAACTTTCTCTACTTCCTTATTATGTTCATTGTATTCTGGTTGTCTATATCTGTTGGGTGGATGAGGATATAAAGGAAGCCATTATATCCCTATCAATGCATGTGAATACACGTCCCGGCAGCAACCCTTTTGCTACGCGACACATGCAATTTTGATATTTAATTGTCAACACAAGGTTTCTAAATCTACTATAACTTAGTGAATTACCTATTATCTAGAAAACAAGTTGTAGTGTTGATTATTAGAACTAAAGAAACAAAGCAGGCGAATCGATTCATTTCATATATGAGAAAGTCACTCATGTATGTTTCCCCCTAGTGCTTAGTTAGGCAATTGTTGTTGCCTCTCTAGTTCATTTCAATCGATACATTTACTTCAAAAAGTCCGGAAACAATTTGGAATCTCGAGTAAAGCAGACCAAACCCTTTTTTATATATTATCTGAAAGGAGATTATCCTTAGCCAAAATAGAAAAGCAAGACAATACAGCCAAGACTCCCACTACTAGATTGAAACCAAGTACAAAGTAGTGAATCGATTCACTATTTGCATAATCGATTGACTACCACCAATTAAAGGCACTCTATCAACCTAATCAAGTATTCTTTCTCCTAGATCAAAGCAATAATTGAAGAATGATATCAAGATTCAAGCAATTTTATGAATAAAACTTCAATAGGATAAATAATACCGAGTTTAACATATCAAGATGAAACAACAATCATTCCTAACATATACAAATATGGTTCTTTATACACAAGTGAAAGAAGGGATTGCTCTATATACATATATGGTGCCTTCTACGGTACCCCGGGTGAAATACGGGGTACCGCATACCTTGAGTATAAAAACGTTATCTAGACCTCGAATTAGCAGGATTTTTGGGCATGATACTATACCCTAACCCTTAATGAGTGAACCCTAGGTCCTAATTATCTAAATCATAAAGTATAAACCCTAAGATGGTGCATTGATTTTTTTGCCTATATTTGGACGAATCATAACCGTTGATTATTGTTTCTAATTAAATTGATCTTGGGGTATAAGATTTAGAGAATTAAGACCTAGATGTTGATCTTTAAGGGTTAGAGTATCGTATCATGTCCGAAAGATTAGTCAATTCAAGTTCCGGATAGCGTTTTCTTACTTAGGGTATGCGGTACCCTGGATTTCACCCTGGGTACCGTAGAACTCCCCATATATATATGTATGGGTCAGACTGGCGTACGTCAGGCGTATACTATACGTCAGGTACTACTAGTGAGATATCTATATATATATATATATATATATATATATATATATGGGAAAGGCTAGCGTACGCCCGGGCGTATGTTAGTCTACCGTACGCCCGTTGAGTTTTGCTATTTACACAATGAATTAACCAGAGTTTGGGGCATGATATTATACGCTAACCCCTAATGGGTAAACCCTAGTCCGCAATTCACTAACCCAAAGCATATATATGGTGGCTACTTCGGTGCACTCACTTTTTTGGGTGCACTCAGTGCACCCAACTCTAAAAGCGTCCATAATACATCAAATTTTGAACTTTAATTAGTACTCTCAATATAATATGATGATATGACATAGAAGCATAACAAATCAATCCATTACCCTAATCCCTTAACCTTCAATTTTGAATCACAATCCAAAATCCCAAATTGTAAACCTAAACCCTAACTCTAAATCCCTAAATCCTAAATCCTTCAAATTAAAGTAAATTTTGAATGAATTTTTTTCAAATTCATGTGCTTCTTGTTCATAATATCATAAGCAACAATTGATACCGTTTTGACATGAATCGCATGGTCAGAATGACAATTATGAGGCGGGTGCACTAAGTACACCCGAAAAAGTGGGTGCACCGAATACGCCACCATATATATAATGACTGATGTACGTCAGGTGTATACTATACGTCAGGTGATCAAGCCGTTAGATGTACTTAGATGAGCTTCGGCCGATCTCAACGGTCAATTTTTGTTTTTCATTAAATCAAACTTCGGGGTGGGGTTTAGAAAATTGGTGCCTGGGGTTTATCCATTAGAGGTTAGGGTATAGTATCATACCCCAAACTCGATTTAATTCATGGTCTAGATAGAGATATCTCACTAGTAGTACCTGACATATAGTATACACCTGACGTACACCAGTCTGACCCATATATATATATATATATATATATATATATATATATATATATACCCTGGGTGACATCTGGGGTACTGCATACCTTGAGTATGAAAACACTATCTAGACCTTGAATTGACCGATCTTTCGGATATGATACTATACTCTAACACTTAAAGATCAAAATCTATGTGTTAACTCTCCCAATCTTATACTCCAAGATCAATTTAATTAGAAACAATAATCGACGGTTATGATTCATCCAAATATAGGCACAAAAAGGAATGCACCATCTTAGGGTTTATAGATTATGATTTAGATAATTATGACCTACGGTTCACTCATTAAGGGTTAGGGTATAATATCAGACACAAAAATCCTGGTAATTCGAGGTCTAGATAGAGTTTACATACTCGAGGTATGCGGTACCCAGGATTTCACCCGGGGTACCATAGAAGCCACTATATATATATATATATATATATGGTGGCGTATTCGGCGCACCCACTTTTTTGGGTGCACTCAGTGCACCCGCCTCATAATCATCATTCTGAGCATGCGATTCATGTCAAAATGGTATCAATTGTTGCTTATGATATTATGAACAATAAGCACATGAATTTGAGAAAAAAATCATTTAAGATTACTTTAATTTGAAGGATTTAGTATTTAGGGCTTAGGGTTAGGGTTTACGTTTACAGTTTGGGATTTTGCTTTGGGATTCAAAATTGAAGGTTAAGGGGTTAGGGCAATAGATTGATTTGTTATGATTCTATGACATATCATCATGTTAGATTGAGAGTACTGATTAAAGTTCAAAATTTGATGTATTACGGACACTTTTAGAGATGGGTGCACTGAGTGCACCCAAAAAAGTGAGTGCACCGAAGTAGCCACCATATATATATATAGCAAGGGCTAGCGTACGTCAGTCATACGTTGTACGCCTCCTATGGATAATAATAATCTGCCGTAAGATGTCGATTTTCACTCCTAGGGACGAAACTTGAGCTCCATGTGGAAAGATAACTCAAATTAGCTATAAGGGGTGTCTCTTAATCACCTTCTCTCTAGAACTTTCAAAACTATGTTTTTGCTGTCAAAATTCAAATCACCTAAAAAAATCCCAAAATTGGATCTTAATGCCGCAACTGGAAAAAAAAAATACAGACAAGAAACATGCCCATGTTTCTCCAAAGCGCAGAGAATCACTTAAACCATCTTTGGATAAAACACAGTGGCCTGGGAATTACATGATCTTGTTTTTCCTGTACTATGGTCGTGTTTTCTCCTTGAATATGCGACACCAAATACACGGCTAAAACACAGACAATGCCTCAAGAAACACGTCCGTTTTTCTTCCTCAGCTTCACTTATGAGTCACCAAACGACGTCTGATTGACTCAAAACTTGTGTTTATACCTTTCTTCACTTGCTAGAACCTAAAATATGACAAATTAACACAACCTAACATAAAAAATGGTAAATGAGGTTAATATATTTTCTCTAAACCATCCTCATTCTCATTTTCAAAAACCCAAACCCATACTCGCGATTTGCGGATCGGGTAATACCTGCTTCGTAATATCCAATATAATTAAACCTAGAATTAATACAATAAAACTAACTAAATATGTATAATGTCTGTTATAATATCAAATACGGCTAATAAACCATAAAGTCAACAAAAGTGTAACCGTTGTTAATTCAAATCCAAGCATCTAATCCTACAACATTTATTAGTTCATAAGACAATTACTATTTTTTTCATCCAATCATAAACTTATTTTTGTAGTATATAGATATTCTGGGGCAAGCATAAATATGACTTATGAGTATAGGACATGAGAGTTTAAAACCATACTCCACCCCCATCAATTTTTTATGGGCTTTACCCATATCCGCATCATTCCCACCAATGTAAGAATTCCCTATGCTGATTGGGTCGAGACCGTCAAACCCACGATCATATATCTAATTGCCATCCTACTTGGGCCTTGATTGGCTATTCTTTTCTCTTAGACCGTGTTAGGATGGAACTGCTTACTGCTATGAACACTTCACTTTATTAAGCATGTACTCGGATCAAATTAAGAATTAATTGAGAGCAAGAAATCCCGAAATAGTAATATTTGACAAAACGTAACTGGAACATCCAACATCTAGGGACCAGATCAGGTTAGTATCCTTGCTATCAGTAACTGTCGGTAATTCAATCATTTGTCCTCACGTGTCAGCTTTTTCCTTTTATTTAAATTAAACACGGAGGAGCACTAAGGTAAACTGCACCCCCTATTTAATGATGTTGCTAACGCGCTGACGCTGACTTTTTGACCAGACGTGGATCCCACTCTCCCACCTCACACTGGTTGTCTGGTTCCCCTCTCTCTCTCTCTCACTCTTTATTTTATTTTATTATTAAAAGAAAAAATACATTATTTCTTCTCTCTCCCATCTACAACAAAAATGAATCTAACCATCCTAACTATTTCTAAACTAATTCCAGCTCAAATTGAATGATGATTTTTTTGTTAAATAATACAGTGTTAAAGACACTAATTACAAGTATAAATATGATTATCACTTTCTACTATCATGGTAAAATATGTTGAAGAAAATTACAATTCTAACTACCATACAATACCACATGGTAAAACGTGGTAAAACAAGGTAAAATATGAAAATTAAAAATCTATTTACCATACAATACCACATGGTATAACGTGGTAAAACATGCTACATAAATTTACAAATCTAATTACCATACCATACCATATGGTATAACATGCTAAAATAAAATTACAAATCAAACTACCACCATATGGTATTACTTTGTAAACCATGCAACAGAAAATTATAAATCTAACTAGCATACAATACCACCATAGTAGAACATGGTAAATCAAAGGACCACAAATTAATTATAATTACAATATAATACCACATGGTATGAGAAGTTAAAACCATGTAAATCTAATTACAATCCTCTACGATCATAGTAAAAACATGATATTCATAAAAATACATTTCGTTACCACACATTACCATATGGTATAGACACATGCATTACCATATGGTATAGTGTGGTAATCTCAATATATATATATACAATTACGACTTTCTTCACTTTCTTCTCTCCCTTCATTGTCTTCTAACTCTTCTTTCTCGGAACTGGTGTCGATTACCACCCACTACCACCATGATAAAACTCGTGACTATAAAAATACATTTAGTTAGCACACATTACCATATGGTATAGTGTGGTAATATCAATATATATTCTCAAAGAAGGGGAAATAGAAGGAGGAAGAGAAAAAAAACTCGTCTTCTGTCTCCTCTCATTTACTCCTCCGCAATCAAGAACACCAAATGCAAAAAGAAAGAAAAAGAGGAAGAAGATCAGAATTAATTCATAAACAAATACTAAAACACAAAAGATGCAAACTCAACTCACCTAGATCTGTCCCCTCTTTGACAATATGGATCGTCATCGATTTTGAGGCCGAGAAAAAAAAACAGAAGGAAGGATCAGCTGAGAGAAGAAGGATTTGGAGCATCAACGGATTTGAGGTGGGAGGCTGCAATTTCTTCATTGATTGTTAGAGAAAAAAATGAAGAACAAGAGAAGAAAGGAGATTTAGATTTAGATTTGGAAAAAGGAGTTTGGAAGAGAGAAAGGAAGAGAGAAAGAGAAAAGAGAGAGAAAGAGAGAAGTCTGTTTTTTTCTTTCCTCCATTAAAAGACAAACATATAAATGCTAGAAAAAATAAAAAAAGGAAATAAATCAAATTTCAAAAATCTGATAAAAATGTCCCTCAATGGGTCGGGTTGGGTCGGGTTTTGCCAAACCCAAACCCAAACCCATGGGTTTATCTTTGAAAAAAACCCGGGGTAAAACCCACTGGGTTTGAAAAACTCAAACCCAACCCAACCCGTTGGGTATCCGCGGGTTCATGGGTACCCACGGGTTTTGTCGTAAAAAATTTACAATTACAAATTCTTATCAAAATTAAAGTCAAATATCAATCTCTTAATACAAATTATCCATATATAAAACACCATTCTAGAAAATTCAAGCAAATCACAAATTAACTATACAAATTGTTCAACACCAATCTAGAAAACTCAAGAAAATTGAAGCAAATCACAAATTATCCATAAATAACATGTTTAATTGAAAGCTTCTTCCTTTCAATAAAGTTTCTTTACTCTCCACTCCATAACATCAACTTCATTCTACACAATTAAAAAGAAAAAATTAGACATGTCTCCACAAACATAAATAAGATTAGTTGTTTAGAATATTAAATATACCGAAAAAGTTAATTATATGGGTGGGCGGGTACCCACGGGCAGGGTTTACCTAAACCCAAACCCAACCCAACCCGTTGAATAGTGAACGGGTTTAAACCCAAACCCGGCCCAAAACCCGTCAACACGGATTTTACCCGCGTTGACCGGATTGGGTCGGGTGGGTACCCGTGGGTTCGGGTTTTGTTGCCATCCCTACTCCTCACTCCACGTGCAGCCCAATCATATGATATTTCCATATCTAGATATATCGTTCGGATTTAATTACTGACAGGTCAATTGGTTACTGACTATATCCTGGACCAACATCTAGCAAGTTGTTTCCAAAAGTAGCTGAAACTCATTTGCTACGGTAAGTACACAAAACACACCTCAAATATTAAAGGGACGACATACTCTCGAGACCAAAAGACAAGTGCAACAAAACAAATAGTGATACATGAATGAATCCCATAGGGGGACCCAAAAGTCGATAGGAATATATATAGAGACTTAACATAGTTTGTTTGTAGCAAGAAAATATTGTATTTGCAGCATGTTTTGTCGACGAATTTGAAAGTCAAGCCTTTTGAGCTCGGCTCAGTACCACAACGAGCAGCACAAGTACTGACAGCAGTAATGAGGTTGCAACCTTCCCTTCAAATGCCACGCTCGCTCTTTCCCCGATACCACCAGCGTGTACCTCCTCGACACGATGTGCGAACAACTTGTTCATAAGCTCTGCTATGCTCTCCATCAATTCCACGACTCTTGCTTTAGCGTTGTCGAGGATCCACTCCACCACATTTTCGGATGCACCAACGCCGTCCTTGTCGCCAGTCTCATCACTTGTACTCTCTTGACTCATTGAATTCATGTTGCTGTTTACTTCTGTGACATGATGGGGAATCGCTCATTTCAGAATTTATCATAGAAATATTACTTAACATTCGCATACATTTTGACAATAAATAAATTCTTGCAACAGTAGCAGATGCAGTGTAGCCATCATTACTTTACTGCATATATATATACCAATTCCCCTGCCTCCCCATCCGAGACAGTTTGACTTTTCTTACTTCTGAAGCACAAACAATTGATTCTTTCCTTTGACAATATATCATTATCATGAAGGGTTTCCTGACATTGCAGCCATTAGCCATACCATGGAGAAGTATTATTTTATTTATGTCAAATTGTAAATGCTTCTTCTATTGATTGCCTACCTCTACCTGGATAGTAAGCGTGCCGAAGCTCCCGAACCACCTCGTTGTTCATAACAGCATCCCATATGGCGGCATCAGAGGATATAGAAGTCACCATTCTCTGCACAGAACCAGCAGTGAACAGTAGATTAGCAGTGCCTTGAAGGCAAGCGATTGCATTTGGATAAAAGACCCACCAAGAAAGTTTTGGAACCAACCAACCAAACCCAGAGAAAGCTACTGACCTGAACGGATTGATCGTTCTGCAGCAAATGGAAAGCTCTGTAAACTGTATCAGTCCCATAAGGATGAGACATCCTGGTGAGGTTAGGAGAAGGCTCCTTCCAGTCCCAGTCCGACTCTGATCCAGCCAAATTAGGCAGAGGCCTCCACCAAATCTCATCTTCCATCCCCACCTTCATCATCTCATTCCCATACCTATCATGAACCAGGCTCGTGTATCGTCCAGAACCAACAAACCTACACAAGACCAACCAGCAAACATGTGTATTGGCTCGCTGTTATTGATAATTTTACTCAGTACTCAAACATCATCGACAATCGAATCGAGATTGGGCAGTGGTTTAACCAATAATAAAGATATTTATTTATTATGTTTAAAAAAAACTGACTGGGAGAGTTCATTGACAGCTGTGTGAACTTCATCAGCCGACGGCGGCGGGCCAAGAGCGAAGAAGTCGTCGGCTAGTCCATAGATAACCCCCTTCTCGTCAGAAGAACAAGAGGAACTTCCATCGGCAGAAACCCACTCCCAATCCCTCCCATACTCATCGAACGGGGATCCATAAAAAGCCGAAGTAGTCCAGGATATCGGAAGCGCGACGGGATTGGGCGAGACATGAAGACCCGGCCCGGCCCCCGAAGCCGCCGACTTGTGGGCCTGCCTCGAGCAGGTCGAAGAAGACGAGCTCGCTGCGGATCCAGCCGGAGTAGGGGAATTGGAGGCGGATGCCGATGTCGGGGAAATCGGGTCCTGAAGACCTGCCACTCCAGCCCGAGTAACCGCTCTCCCCATAGCTTTCATCATGTTCCCGCCGCCGCCACCGCCCATTCCTCCTCCTCTGCCTCCAACAAAACCCATTCTTTATCGTCTCGGCCGCTAACTGATCTCTTCTCTTTGCACCCCCTTCTTATCCCTTTTGGAATTTTGGAAAAGAGTTCCAGGTTTATTTCCACGAGAAGGAGGAGGATAAGTTGTAGAGTTCAGTTTACGCACAGCTATATCTTTCTTTCGATAAGTTCGCAGATTCTGATTGGATACTAACTGCGGCTTTTTTTTTTTGTATCGTCTCGTCCAGCCGCAATCACCGAATGCAACTAACCAATTTCTCCGTGATTTAATGGGCTCTGGGCCCATCATCGTGTTATCAAGGCCGTAGGCCCCTTAACATTTTTGTAAGGTCCGTTTCACAAAGCCCAAAATCAGTGCAAGTCTCGAAAACCCTAATCGCAAATATATTTTCAATCTCTCACGTTCACGGTTCCCTTTCTTCCCCAGCCGAACGAACAGCAGCAAGAGGAAAGAGGAGCAGCGCGCCGATATGGGTGAGCCTTTGTTTTCTGTTTCCTCTCTGGCCTTCTTCGTTTCATCGTTTTTAAGCCTGATGATGTGGGTCTTCTAGAATCGGATTGCGGTTTCTATGAAATGTAGAATGGGATCTGGTGGTTTTCTGGGGTTTAGTGAGATATGTGCAGTTATGTTGATGGAGATGGTGGGAAATTTTACCCAGTGATTGGTTTTGATTCTGCCTGTGGATTGTGTGAAAATAGGGGCATACAAGTACGTGTCGGAGCTATGGAGGAAGAAGCAGTCGGATGTGATGAGGTTTCTGCAGAGGGTGAGGTGCTGGGAGTATCGCCAGCATCCTTCGATCGTCCGAGTTACTCACCCAACTCGCCCTGACAAGGCTCGTCGCTTGGGTTACAAGGCCAAGCAGGTACCTTTTTTTTTTGGGGTCTCGACTGTGATGAATGCTTTATCTTCTATTCGCCCTGCTTTAGTTTTGTGTAGATTTCATATGTCTCAGTAGTGGCAGTGACTTGTGTGAATGCTTGTAGGGCTACGTCGTTTACCGAGTGCGTGTGAGGCGTGGTGGAAGGAAGAGGCCAGTTCCTAAGGGTATTGTGTATGGGAAGCCCACAAACCAGGGTGTGACTCAGCTCAAGTTCCAGCGTAGCAAGCGATCGGTTGCAGAGGAACGTGCTGGGAGGAAGCTTGGTGGACTCAAGGTTCTCAATTCCTACTGGATCAACGAGGTATGTACTGTCGGCCACCACATTTAACTTTGTTGTAACTTGTATTGAACAGAACAATGAAAAATTGAATTGGTAGTATTTATAGATATACTGAACGGAATTCCCTGTTAGTTTAGCTTATCTTGATTTGATTGCTCATTGTTGATGCTGTTTTAGAAGCCTCACTGAGCATTGAGCAAAATGGATATGGAATCTGCTTTTGTTTCACTCTATCTGGTTTACATTGATGTCCTTCCTCGCTGTGTTTCAATGAATACAGGACTCGACATACAAGTACTTTGAAGTTATCCTGGTTGATGCTGCGCACAATGCAATTCGCAACGACCCAAGGATCAACTGGATATGCAACCCAGTCCACAAGCACAGAGAGCTTCGTGGTCTCACTTCTGCAGGAAAGAAGTACAGAGGTCTCAGAGGAAAGGGTCACTTGTACCACAAGAACAAGCCATCGAGGAGGGCAACCTGGAAGAGGAACAACACACTCTCTCTGCGTCGCTACCGTTGATCTACTGTTTTCTAGGTTTTTTGTTCTTCGCCGTAGGATTATCCCAAGTATGAAACACTTAAAAGTGCTTTTGGATTTGTGTGTTCGCTGAAGTAATTTTACTGTGTTGAGATCTATGGTGAATTTGTTTGCGGTTTCAATCTATTTATACTCGATAGGCCAGTCGCATGTCTTTATCGTTAATATTTGGTATTGGGCAGATTCCTTCAATGATTCATTCCATCTATTATAAAATAAAAATAAACTTAATATGAGCAAACAATAATAAAAATGATTAGTAGCAAGGCTTAGGGATTGTGGAAGAATGAGATTGGAGAACGATGGATAGGAGAGAACGAAATAGAAACTGAGATAAACTTCTCTTCCATCTCTTACTCTTCACACGGAGAGATAAATTGCATAATTGATGTCCAAAAAGAAACTGGCAACCCACTGATGCCCGGTGCAGTGGAAGCCACGGAGTCGGACGGGAACAAGGCACGATAGCGACGGAAGACGGCGAGATTTTGATTTTGATTTTGCAGGCACTCAAAGAAGACTCGCGGGTGCCGCACTTGCTTCCACGACAACCTCGGATGAAGTTAGGACCAGGATGAGGGGCGGAGCTAGGATATGACGTTCGGGGAGCCGAAAATATTTTTCGTATTATTGAAGAAGCAAACAAGAAAAAACATAAATAATTTACCAATATTAAGAAAATTAATTTATATTGATTATTATTATAACACCTTTCAATACACTTTTTGAGATAATTAGATTAGTTCAAATTAAAAGATAAAATAATGTATCATGTTATTTTGATACAACCGAGTGAATTACCAAAAAAATTAATGTATCAATGCATAATGTCTAGCAAAAGTTATAAACCTTAAGTGATCTAAGTCAAAGATCTAAAGAGATATAAATATGAAAGTTAGATAAGTGAATTGAACTTTTATGTAAATTAAAACTGAAAAAAGAAACAAAAATTAAAAGTTAGATGACTAACTTGAACTTCTATGTCAAGTAAAATTGAAAAATAAAAGAAACTAACAAAAGCTGGAAGTTGAATGACTAAATTGAATTTTTACGCAAGTGAAACTGGAAAAGAATACAAATTGCCATCGTCATGATTCGAACATGCATCAACGACGGAGAATTATGCGCCTCTCTTCGGTTGACTGCAACCACATTTTATTACAGGTTCTGCACATATAAGTATTTCACCACAAACTTAAGTTACACGTAATTTAAACTACGAGTTCATACACAACTTTCAAAATTCTGAGGGGACATAAGGTAGCTCCGCCCCTGCAGGTTGATGGCGTCGATTGGGCACCCTTTTATGCCAATTGATTATTTGCTTGGAGGAAATAGACGCCCCCATGGTGTAACTCTCATTGAGGATCTAGTTGGGCGTCGAACTCCACCGGGCACCTCAACTCCACGGCGGAGAGAGCGGGATCCGATGAATGAGGCCATAGCGGTGGGAGAGTCTTCTAAAGATGCCAAAGGTGTCAGCGACGCAAACTTCTTGGAGCAAGTCGGGGTCGGAGGCGAAGCAAACGTTGGTGATGGCAAGAAGACGAGGAAGTATGAGATGAGGATTGGAGCGGTGGGTGCCATGGTTCCATTTTTCTGCATCTCTGCCCAGAAAATGCACGTTTGCTTCGTAATCTTCCACCAAATCATCTTGGAGGACGTCGGGCCGAAGGCGAAGCAAGCAGTGGAGGTGGCGGAGAAGTGGTTTTCGACTGAATCGGAGTTATATGAAAAGACCTAAATTTAGATCCAGAAACAGTAACCAGGAGACGGTTTGGATTTGGGGATGCTAGGAATTAAATTTTTATTTTTTAATTGTTGTGGAAATGAGATGGAAATCTAAAATATTAAATTTATTTTTTAAATATATTTTAATTGTCACTTCATACATTTAATGTTCAACTATGAGTAGGGATGGCAATGTGTCGGGTTGGGTCGGGTTTTGCCAAACCCAAAACCAAACCCATGGGTTTATCTTTGAAAAAAACCCGGGGTAAAACCCACTGGGTTTGAAAAACTCAAACCCAACCCAACCCGTTGGGTATCCGCGGGTTCATGGGTACCCACGGGTTTTGTCGTAAAAAATTTACAATTACAAGTTCTTATCAAAATTAAAGTCAAATATCAATCTCTCAATACAAATTATCCATATACAAAACATCATTCAAGAAAATTCAAGCAAATCACAAATTAACTATACAAATTGTTCAACACCAATCTAGAAAACTCAAGAAAATTGAAGCAAATCACAAATTATCCATAAATAACATGTTTAATTGAAAGCTTCTTTCTTTCAATTAAGTTTCTTTACTCTCCACTCCATAACATCAACTTCATTCTACACAATTAAAAAGAAAAAATTAGACATGTCTTCACAAACATAAATAAGAATCGTTGTTTAGAATATTAAATTTACCGAAAAAATTAATTATATGAGTGGGCGGGTACCCACGGGCCGAGTTTACCTAAACCCAAACCCAACCCAACCCGGTGAATAGTGAACGGGTTTAAACCCAAATCCGGCCCAAAACCCGTCAACACGGATTTTACCCGTGTTGACCGGATTGGGTCGGGTGGGTACCCGTGGGTTCGGGTTTTGTTGCCATCCCTAACTATGAGAGTAGACTGCCATATCAACAAAAGTTAACGGACTTGGACGGAGAGTGACCAAACTTGAACTATTTAATTAATTTTAGTGACCATGAATAAAATTAAATATTTTTAGTAACCGAACATGAACTTTTTAGTAATCACATCGACCAATCTTTGCAATTTACCAATTATAATTCATATCAAAGTCACTGGCGAACCTATCAATGGAAATAATATGGTGGGAGAATTCTCAACAGGTATCATAAAACTTCGAGGACGTTGATGTAAGAAGAAGAAAAGCTTTGGCAGTACGATCACTAATTATGTTGATGGAATCACTTGCAGTTGCAGGCTTAGGTTGTGTTTTCTGGCCAGAAACCTCATGTTTGATATTTATGGACTGCACCTTTTAATTTTTTAATAACGATTAATAAGGTTAATATTTTGGACTTTGCTACGGTGACATACGGTGACATGCACTTTTCGGTCGACCTCATATAGGATCAGGTCGACCTAATAAGTTGTTTCAGTGTACAAACAGTTTCATGGTGCCTACTTTGGAGATTCATATCTTACAATTGGCTATATGGAAATTGGAGATTAAAGGCTTGTTTTGAAGCTGAAGTGTCCCTCTACACATTAAAGTACTTGGGAGCTCAATAGAAAGTCCAGAAGACCATTTTTGAACCTGACCAAAAGGCTATGCCAAAACTGGGGAACTGCCTGAAAATGGCTAAGTCTGGCAACGTGTTTGTCAAGCCTACTTTGGAGCTCAATTTGACAAGCATGGATGCGAGTCCAGTCCAGGGGCCTTTACCACGTTAAATTATGTATTTTTTTATACAAAGGCAAGGCATTGAATGAA